AAGAAACTGATTTAAAGGTAAAAAGGAAAAAAGGTTTAAAAGAAGCTCAGAAAATTATAAAGTCAGGTCAGACTGGAGCTGATTAACACTTTGAAACCTCAGATACTAAATGATCAAGTCAAAGGGCAAAAGTGAGTTCAAATATTTTATTTCTCTACTTTTCATGTACAAACAATCCAATGAACATGTTATTTCAAATGACATTAATGAAACTGAAGTGAAAACATCAGTAAGTACTTTTCTTTTTCTTCACATCTTTTATATTTCCAGACAAAAAGTCAGGTTGAATTTCGTATTTTCTTTTTCATTTTAACACTTTTTGTATTTTTTTTCCTTAATGTAAAATATCTAAAGTGAAACCTTTAGATAATATTTTTCCAATTCATTTTTAAAGAACATTTTTGTCTTCTAAAGTGAAACCTTTAGAGAATTAAGACAATTCTGGAAAGTGGGAAACATTTCCGCTGATTGCAACTGTTGTTATGTTGCTCAGCAAAGAAGCCATCTTTAAAAAGTCCTTTTTAAAAACGCCTCTTTCTCAGCACCGCTTCTTCTCCTACTGCGCGTGCTTCAAGATGCGACTTTTGCTCTGTGGGAGCCACAGGACGCAGAAGTCGCTTCTCCTTCCTCTCCAAACCTCATCCGCACAAAGAATGAGGGTCGATGTGTCGCTCTTGTGGCATACCTGACCTCATTCACATAAAGAATGAGAGTCATCTTGGCATGGACGGGACAAGAGGCGACGAATCACGGGGGCCACTCGGGCCGGCGCCGTGCTGCCTGGACGGGAATCCTCCTCAGGAGTATCCAGGGATGAGAAGAAACAGGGTCATCCTGTTCATTAGGATGAGTATTTCCATATAAGAAGCTTCACAGCATCTGAGCAAGAGAGGAGCCGAGCCCCAGATCAGCGCTCGGGGAGGCTGATCTCGGGAACCCAGTCGTTCAGACGACGACTCTCCTCACAGAACAGGTGCAGCTTCTCCAGAGCGGGGTCCTGCCAAGACCCTTCAGCTGGGTTCTGTTGACACAAGAGAAGAAAAGCAGAGTTAGACACGTGTTTCTTTCACAGCTTAAATGTTTCTCAGATGATTCAGAATAATAAAAATGTCTTTAGCAGAGCTCTACATACCGTGATGAGGACGCAGTGAGCATCTTCAAGTTGCTCGGCCTTGTCGCCAACAATCTCAGCCAGACGCTGCACGTCGCTCACTCTGACGATGCTGATGTCGTTGTCAAAGCAGAAGGACTGGATGAGGGTGAAGTGGATCTGCAGAGCGATGTCACACTCAAACTCCTCATCCACGGCCAGGACGCAGAAAGACACGCTGTCTGGGTCACTGTGGACAGAGAAAAATCACTTCTGGTTAGCTGCTGCAGTTCAGTGTTGGTCATGTTGTATTTCAGAGAGAAGGTCAAAAGACAAATTGAAGTTATCTTTTTTTTCAAACTTTACTTACTCAGTCATGATTTTGGCGCTCTCGTAGACTCCAACAGTGAGTCGATCCTCGTTCTGAGCGCAGAGCAGAGCTTCCTTCATAGATTTTCCAGGGGACTGCATGGTGATACTTCAGGTAACACTTCAGTTGAGATGTGGTCAGAAAATCCAGAGAAGAGAGTTTGTGCTGCTTCCAAGAATCAGCCGGCTTTTATACTGCAGAGCCGGCACACGCTCACCCTCTGATTCGCTGTCAGGGGCACAATGGCTACAACAGGCCTGCAGCCCCCGCCCCACCCTCTGGGACGCGTGCCTATAGAAAGTCTTAGAAAGTTGGGGGCAGCTTTGGTTGAAAGGATCAGATATAAAAAAACTCTCTGACCTCTAAATGATTCTTTCAACTTAAAGAAATAATAGAACCACACAGGAAGACCAGACTGCTGTCGTCAAAGTCCTCAAAGTTCTGGAAGAATTAGCAGCAACCATTGACTCCCATTCAAACCAGTATAGCATACAATACAGGGGGTTCTCCATGTTTACATCTACACAATTTATCATGCAAACCATGCAAAAGTTTCACAGACTTAAATGTATGGTGTTGACATAACAGGTAGCTGATTATTTTTCATGTGTATAGAAATCAATAAATTGGCCTCTTTAACTTTCTTTTATGCAGTTCATCACTGATGTAATGTCATGTATTATATTCTTCAGCTTGCAGTATTGTATGTGTGAATAAAGTAAGGTATTTTCAAAACAACTTAGTGTAGACTCGTTAAAACTTTATACATGTGAATCTTTGAAGGATTATCTTGTCTTATGTCTACTTAAGATGAAACTTTAGTTCCATCACAGTGCAATGGAAATCTTACATTGGCCGGTTTGTAGAGTAAATGTTAAATCTCATGGATTATAAAGGTGAGCAACTTTGAAGAACCTGCTTTGACCCCATGACCCTGATGAAGGCCATGAGCCTAGATGTGTCGGTCTAATTGGGTAATAAAGTTGATCTTCATACTACAAGTGTTGCTGTAGCATTTTGACCTCTTCAAGAATCTGCTTTTGTGCAGAAATTAGTGGAAGTCAATGAGGAACTGCACTAATAGAGAGACAAATCTGGAAATTTGACCTAAAATTGTGAAGTTTGGATCAAAACATGCAAAAATATAAAAAAGCAAAAGGTTATATTTCAGCTTTATTAGTTTCAGGAAAAAAACTTTCACTGAATTGTTCATTATTTTTCTATTTACACCTCCAAATAAAAGGTCTGAGTTCCATACTATTATTATATATTGTGTTGACGTTTCATTTTATATGTTTTTTAAACTTTTTCTTCTTGCGACTGATTGTATAATGTTGTTATCATGTATATTGTCTACTTTTATTTTTAAGCACATTGAGTCTGTACTGTAAATCATGAAAGCACATCATGAAATATGCTTAATAACCCTGACTTGACATACTGTCTTACCCCCCTTTTAAAGAGTCTTATCCAAGGATTAAAGTTCTTTAGATCTTGTGCAGAGCTGTCCCTTTTCCTAAGTCCAACTTAAATTTGTTTTTAGGTCTTTTTCAAATACTCAGCAATCTTTTCGGATTTTCAATGAATCTGAGGTTCTAGCTGAAAGAGCGTTTGGTAAAGGTGAGCAAGACAACAAATGTGTAGAGTACACAAGAGTTAACAATAGTATTTGTTAACTTTGGAGAAAAAAAAGGTGCATGGTGTTTAAATGCTTTTGATGGTATGGCATACAGTTTCATGAAACCCTAGGAATCATATCAGAGTCTAAAAACTCAGATGATGAAATAAAAAGTGTTTTAGTATTCAGTGGTTAACTTGTAGATAGAAACGTTTGCATACTTGGGTTTGAAGCTGTTTTAGGCGTCATGCATTTAAAATATCAGCCTTTTTTACTGCCTGTGGATGTCAGACAAACTTTTCCAACTCATGACCAGTTTCACTACATCAAGTGTTTTTGTTGATTAGACGGTGGCACGCGCCGCTGCTTTGCATGACCTCACTTGAGGCGCGTGGCATCTGGAGATGCCTGCATGCTCTATCTCTCTGTCTGCATCTCTCTCCATAGCAACTGAGAGATACCATCTGTCCCCGGGGAGGGCTGAAGGGAGGGAGGGGTGGACAAAGGAAGTCAGGCAGCACCTGCTGGGCGTGATGACATTGTGTACAATATGATTCTTTATGTCTTTAGGTAAAACCAAATCTGAGCGCAGAAGTCTAGCTCAGCTCAACGTGTTGTTTGTAGAGGTCTACCTGTTTCATAGCTCACAATGGCTTGATTAATCAAAAATATAGGGGAAAAAGTACATAACTTTATTATTTTGTTATATAATCCGAAGCCATTTGCACGCAGAAGCCAAACACTTAAAGCTCGTATCCTGCTGCTTCAGACACGATCCATCCTTACAAAGAGCTTTAGGCACTTACTGCGCCGCCGCAGGTCACCAGAAAGCAGCTTTGACCACCAACACCTGTCGCGCGTTGCCGGGGAGGCCTCCATGTGGCAGATGTGCTTCTGCAACAATAGGTCGGTATCGATTTGCACGCGCCTGCCCTGTGGCAACACAAGCTGATCCTTCCTAAAACAGTTCAATGTTTGAGTCCCTATCAGCTGGATCCACATCAAACATGTTTAAGCCTCTCGGCCAGCTGATGGGCTGATGAATCTGCAGCAGGCGCACAGAAACTGAAAGTGATGTAAATAAATAAACGATCTGTTGCTGCTGTGTGCAGATAAGAGTTGTGTTGGTCAAAACACATTTGAACTATTCTTGTGCGTGTTTACAGCTCAAACTGAAAGTGAGTTGTATCTGCCTACTAAGTCTGCCGTCGTCTGCAGATAACACTTTTCATTGTGAAAGTTTAGACCATAAGCGCGTCTCTTTGGCATTCAAATTTAATCAAAACTCAGACAACAGACTGGCGAATGTGGAGACTTGTGGACAAAGGAGCGGCGCGCCCCAGGCTCGGGGTTGACCTGGGTTTATGAGGGGGGGGGCTCCTCATAGCGACAGTTCTCCATCTGCCGCTCTGCCCAAAGCAGAACAATAGCGCTGAATCAATCATCGCCAACCTGTGTCTCCGGCACCACCTCTCCACTCCAACCCCCACCTCTTTTTACGCAGCAGTGGCAGCAGGCCTGACCCGATGCAAGATGAGTTTGAAATGATTATGCAGATAAAATAAAAGCAGATAAGCACGAGCTGTTGGGGAGAAATGAGTGGAATAATTGAAAGAGAACCGTGCGTAAACGTGTCGCCTTGCGTAAAAGTAATCTATAATAATTGAAAACTGAGAAAAACGAATTTATTTATTTTTAAAGTTAACTGCAAACTCTTTACTTACCAAAACGGCCAATAATGCACAAGATGCAAGGAGAAATCGTGAACCATGGACATTGGTGCTGCGCGTAAAAGTTGTGTTGTGTGTGAAAGTGAATGAAACTTTGGGATTGCGTTTTGTTTTTTATTAAAACACTGAAAATGTGTATAAATGTTCAAAATATTAACAGATGAGGACATTGGGTGGAAACATACAAAACACACTGGAAACAAAAGTGCAATACACTTTACAAGTTCCCTGACAGAATTCAGTCCGTGTGGCCCCTGAACTCCCCAGAGTAAATAAATAAAAACCGAGCGAGGATTTGCAGGACAGCTGATAGCCACGTGGTTTGCGCGGGGCCAGCAAGCACAGCGTTCTGGCACGCGCTGGTCATTTGCATTTGTATAGGCTGCCGTGATAATAGAGGGGCTTCTGGTGCACAATGGGGCCGTTTTTTATGGCCAGCCTCTAGTCCACAGATGGCATCATCCACCTGCCCTTTCTCTCTGCTGCTCGCGGAGAGAGGAGAGGGGGGAGGGGGCGAGTCACACTTTCTCTATGTTGATGCTGAAAAACTATTTTTAAAAGTCTAAAATTAAAAAACTGGAGTAAGTTTTTGATATTTTATGTTAAGTCAATTTCCAATGCGTTTTAAACTTATAAAAGTAGCTGATCAGGTCAACAGTGCTCTATATAGTTGTATCATTCTTCAAATAGTAAATAATCAGCTGTGCATCTTCAGAAGCTCTTAGAAAAACATGCAAAAGTGCAACTGATGTTCATCATGCACCCCATTCCCCACACTGTGAATCAGCTGCTTTGTTTTCTCTTACGTGCACAGAAGTGTTGCAGAGGGATAAAACTTTATTTTTTTTAATGAAGCTATTTTTAGTTTCAGTTCAGCCTGCTGCTGCTCTGAGGGGGGAGCGTGCGTGGCTCGATGACCCCCATCAATCTGCCACGAGCCAGACTGTGACAAAAGGCATTATCATACCAATACACCATTCAGCTTCAGCCAATCAGAGCGTAGCGCTTTCTCTTCGCCGCACGAGCTGAAGAGTATATAAGAGGGAGGCTGCAGATCTCTCAAATCACTCTGCTCCCTTTTACGGATTTGCTCTGCGAACCAGCTCTCGAAACTCTCCCTTTGTGGAATTATCTCAAATCACCTTCATCATGACTCTTGAGGAAGTTCTGATCCAGAAACCCACCGAGCGTGCCCAGTGCACCGGCCAAGCCCTGGAGGAGGTCCTGGTGTCCGCTAAGGACAACGACTCCCTCACCGTGGGCGTCTACGAGTGCGCTAAAGTTATGAATCTGTAAGTATGACTTTCTCTACTGAATATGTAGCTTACTACACTTTTAACTGAGTGAAGTCGTTTGAAACATTTTTGGATTGAAATCTCACGAGCTGTTATTTTGATTCCACAGTGACCCGGACAGCGTGTCTTTCTGCGTCCTGGCCGTGGATGAGGAGTTTGAGTGTGACATCGCTCTGCAGATCCACTTCACCCTCATCCAGTCCTTCTGCTTTGACAACGACATCAGCATCGTCAGAGTGAGCGACGTGCAGCGTCTGGCTGAGATTGTTGGCGACAAGGCCGAGCAACTTGAAGATGCTCACTGCGTCCTCATCACGGTATGTAGAGCTCTGCTAAAGACATTTTTATTATTCTGAATCATCTGAGAAACATTTAAGCTGTGAAAGAAACACGTGTCTAACTCTGCTTTTCTTCTCTTGTGTCAACAGAACCCAGCTGAAGGGTCTTGGCAGGACCCCGCTCTGGAGAAGCTGCACCTGTTCTGTGAGGAGAGTCGTCGTCTGAACGACTGGGTTCCCGAGATCAGCCTCCCCGAGCGCTGATCTGGGGCTCGGCTCCTCTCTTGCTCAGATGCTGTGAAGCTTCTTATATGGAAATACTCATCCTAATGAACAGGATGACCCTGTTTCTTCTCATCCCTGGATACTCCTGAGGAGGATTCCCGTCCAGGCAGCACGGCGCCGGCCCGAGTGGCCCCCCGTGATTCGTCGCCTCTTGTCCCGTCCATGCCAAGATGACTCTCATTCTTTATGTGAATGAGGTCAGGTATGCCACAAGAGCGACACATCGACCCTCATTCTTTGTGCGGATGAGGTTTGGAGAGGAAGGAGAAGCGACTTCTGCGTCCTGTGGCTCCCACAGAGCAAAAGTCGCATCTTGAAGCACGCGCAGTAGGAGAAGAAGCGGTGCTGAGAAAGAGGCGTTTTTAAAAAGGACTTTTTAAAGATGGCTTCTTTGCTGAGCAACATAACAACAGTTGCAATCAGCGGAAATGTTTCCCACTTTCCAGAATTGTCTTAATTCTCTAAAGGTTTCACTTTAGAAGTTTAACAATGACAAAAAAATATTATTTAAAATCTTAAAAAAAAGAAGAAGAAATGAAATAAAGTCAGCTCTCTAAAGGTTTCACTTTAGGAAACGACTGAATTAAGTTAATGTTCAAAAAGAAAGAGAATTTGTATTTTTAGACTCTTGATTCTATAGAATACTGAATTGTTAAAGTATAAAGTGATCAGATTTATGTCTTGATCCTGTTGGAAAAATATTGGAAAAAAAACGTATTTATATCTGACAGTTAAAGAAATTGTTGGAGATTGTGAAAAATGTGAAAAATGATCAATAAAAGTTCCAAAATATACTTTTTCTCTGACGTGTTTTCTCTTTCCCTAAAAAAGACAAGTTTGAGCCCAAGTTTTGTGTATTGTGTGTGTGTGTGTTTGGGTGTTGATGGGTCAGGTCAGGGAGGGGGGGGGGGGTATGAAACTAACAAAAGTGTGAAACTCAGCAGATTTGCATGGAAGGCGCTAAGGCCTGTCATCTGCAGTATTAAAAAAACCCTCCGCCGTCCCTCCTCTAGCAGAACTCATCTGCATGTGTATAGAGCAGCGCACAATAGCGGAGCTCCGGGCCTGTCAGCTCCAGCGGTCCGCACAGAGCGCCTATTGTCTGTCCTGCAGATGTCTCCGCAGCCACGCCGCGCCATCTGCCGCTCCCTGCAGATGGGGGTCGGGCAGAGCTCGGGTGGGAGGAGCCGTGGGGGTCAGTCAGTTTACAGTGCCAGAGGGGTGCAGCCGAGTTGGGTCTGGCTGGTTTGGACCGGTTTGGGCGATGATTAAGGGTCCCGAGTATCATCTGGTGTCCTGCCAGCTGCTGTCGGGACTGTTGTTTACTCGCACGCACTTAGTGAAACTTTGGCAAACAGGCCACAAAGACGGGAGATGAGCTCTGATAGAGTGCAGCTGCAACGGCAGCAGCCACCTGCTCTGTGCTGTAACAAAAGAGTCTGCGTGACGCATCAGTTTTCTTTGCACAACTTTATTTAGTGAATACACACAAAGTCTCTTGCAGAGGTAGAGGGTGAAGAATTTCCCTAAAAACACACATAATGCAAAGCTCCAATCAGGTGCACAAACGAGTGTGGCATGGCTTTATCAATGCAGGTTTGTGCAAACTCAAGTGTTTCTCGGCTTTTCGGCTCAGGAAACAAACAAAAAACAACAACAACAAAACATTGTGATTATTGCTTTAAACATAGTAAATAAAAAGGTTGCAACATGTTTCATTATTTCTTGTTATTAATCTCAACAGGCACTTACACATGACTCAGGCTATCCCAAAAAGTTGCATTGAAAACAGTGTCACAAATTTATCAAAAGTTTCTTGATGTGAAAAATGATCAGTCATTAATTGCTCAAAGTCACTTTCCCATGATATAAAACAAAATCCATACTTAAACTCATTTTAAAGAGGTGTGCAAAAAAAAACATGCCTAACCGTCTCTAACAGTCTGTTATGAAAGCACACAGAATTTGGAGGTGTGTCTGAGGCCCCTGTAGGCCCGGAGCCCCTCCCTCTTGGGGTCCCTCACCATCCCTCGGACCACTGGGGGAGTGTCATAGCCCCTCCTCTTCTGGGCTCGGTGCAGCAGGATCCGGTACACCCCAGTGACAGGGCTGCGGCTCTCTTTGAGTGGATTGTTCCTCAGGTGCTCTGAGGTGAAGCCCAGCTCCTCAAGCAGGACCCTGACCTCCTCCTCCACCTCCTCCTCCAGATCCCCACGATCCAAGTCCAGCAAGCTCTGCAGAGGGCTCACCGGCTCGGGAGGCACCAACGACCAGGGAAACTCCACGGGTAAGAGCCAATCACAGCCCAGCATCTGGTCAATAGCGCAGCGCTCAGCAGGGGCTGGTTTCAAGATGCCCTTGATGAGCCTCTGGCAGGGGCCGGGCACCCAGGGGGGCACGGTGTAGGCGCCATCGATGATGGAGCGCCGGAGCTTCCCCATAGTCTCAGCACGGAACGGCATAGAGCCAGTCACCATAAAGAAAAGCAGGACCCCCATGGCCCACACGTCCACTTGGGGGCCCACGTAGTACTCGTCCTTGAAGAGCTCTGGGGCGGCGTACGGGGGAGAGCCACAGAAGGTGTCAAGGGTGTCGTTGCGGTTGGAAACTTGCGTGCTGAATCCAAAGTCGGCCACCTTCACACAGCCGCTGCAGGTGAACAGAACGTTCTCCGCCTTCAGGTCTCGATGAATGATGTTGAGATTGTGCTGCAGATATCAAAACAAACAAGCTGTTGTTAGCCATGTTGCTAATAACTCAACAAAATGTGACATGATAACGTTTCTATTACAGGATCAAAACAGTCTTGGCCTTCAAGATGAGAAGAAACTTTTCCTTCTCAGAAAACTTATAGAGATCAGACTTTTGTCCATCACACACACACACACACACACACACACACACACACACACACACACACACACACACACACACACACACACACACACACACACACACACACGAGTGAATAACACAATTTACATCAATACATTTGATATAAAGACATCAAGACAACATTAAAGTGAAAACCAATGTTCATGATTCTGAAGAGTCCTTCATTAGACTTTGCTTGTAAGTCAAAAATCTGAACTGTAGGTCCTTCCTTCCTGCTGCAGTCAGACTGTTTAACCAAGCCTGCTCCCAGTCCACCATAAAACACACACAAAACCGGAGAATTCACTCCTACCTCTTGTGCATAATATGTAAACTACTACCTGATGCTATTTGCATTGCAATAATAATATATGGAACTACTTGTGCAATAACATGTTCATCCTAATATGCTTTTTTATACAGACCTACATCATGTTGCAACGACAGCTCTGTTGTTGGCTCTATAACTATTTGATCCATATTTTTTGTATTTAAAAGTTTTCAAAATGTTATCCAATTGTGCACTGTGTGTTTTTCCTTTGTTGGCTATCCTGCTCTTCGCTGCTGAAACACTGTAAATGTCTTTGTTTTGAGATGAATAAAGGATTATCTTATCTTGTACATTGTAACAAAATAATATGGTCCGATTTTTAAAGTCTCCTTTTTCATTCTTCAGTGAATGTGTTTGATAATTGGGTGTCATTTATTCAGTACTTGAATAAAACCTGACAAAATGTGTTTGCTTGTTGCTTTTAGACTCAGTTGTTTTAGTTTGAAGTTTAGTTTTTTTCTGTTAACCCAAGGAAATGATGTGGTGCAGAAATGCAATTATCTTATTCTCTTAAAGAATCACACAAGTCAGACTAAAACACAAACAGGAAGTGCTTCCTGTTACCAATGTTGTTGTGTAACCCAACCAACCACTGAGCTGACACTGAAGGGTTGGACAAGTGAAGCCAATGCAGAGGTTTCATTCTAACGTCCAGCAGGGGGCACCTTCACTGGCTACAAAAAGAAAATCTGATTGTATAGAAGCAGATGAAAAAAACAACTGTACCTCTCACTTGATTTAATACAGAGTAAACGTTTTCTAAACTGGTATTTGTTGGTTTTTAAGTCTTTAACTAAGCATGATTTCCACCTTGTAATTGTTGTATCCTATTTAAAGTTAAAATAGACAAAAAGCAGAGTATACTTCAGGGTGTAGGAACCTTCGATGTATAAGATAATCCCCACAGGCCTGATTAATGTCTTGTACTTTGACTAATTGTACAAAAGGACACAGAGGAGTTTGCTTTTCATTTAAAGCCTCTTCCACCAAGTGATATTACACTTACACAGCTATACTAAGACAGCAGACAAGCATATTCCCAAATGTTGGAGCAACCTCTTCAAGGGGCTGATAACATAGCACAAAGACCCTGCATTAAGTTTTCTTCAACAGTTTCTCCTCAAAACTTGGTCACTGATAGCTCACACCCTACAAACCTCTTCTGACCTCTTTACAGACTCCCTTATAGTCACTACTATTTACACCGTCACAAAGAAGATTACGCCATGACTTAATTTGATTAAATCTGGGTGTTTCCTCCGGTGACGTCAACATGTCTGCTTTAAAAAAAGGTCTGCAGCCTCCTCCTCCATCCTTAGATTGCTAAATGTTGATTGGTTGTTATGGAAATATTGGACTTACTGCACAAAAAGAAATTCACCTTAAAGAATTGCACATTAATCTTTGCTATTCTAGAGACATATGTACTTAAATGATAAATAATTCATCTTGACACTACAAATGTAACATACTGTTACGCATTGAGTCTGTCAAGCATTATCTTCAACTTTGGGTTTTTCAGCTCAAGTTTTTTTTCCTGAAGTTACTGTAGGAGCAAAGTGAGTGTGGGCATAATAATGTATTATATTTCAATGGTTTTGGTTTGTATGTTTACTTATTTACTTAATTTGAACACTACATGGTGATATATACCGGTATGTCAGGAGGTATTGTCAGGTCATTATAGGTCATGGGTGAACAGGAAGATGGTGGCATAGGTGGAGGTTAAAATCTCTGCAACAATCATCCATCACTTAATATGATCACCTCGGTTTGTCTGCTTCATCTTTTACAATAAAGAGGAACTTCATTTTGGACATTTGTTTATTTTTGGATACGTGTCAAGACCTTCCCATACACCTGTTCAAGTGACTGAAAGTATGATTAGAACATTGGGACATTAGATAGTCTCTACAGTTAGATAAGACAGGTGTGATTTAATGACATGCTGTTTAAGAACTAAATGAATCGTTTTCTTACTAACCATATATTTGATGGCAGACAGGATCTGGGCGAAGGTGATCTTGCAGGTGTTGTCAGACAGTTTACCCTCGCTGCAGATCCTGTTGTGGAGGTCTCCTCCTCCTGCGTACTCCAGCACCAGGAAGAGGCGGCTCGGCGTGTCCACCACCTCGTACAAACGCACCACGTTGGGGTGCTGGAGGGACTCCATGCTGCTGATCTCCCTGGAGAGCAGACGCTGGGCCTGATGGTCCAACCTGGTCTTGTCCAGGATCTTTATAGCCACTTTGTCTGAAAGGAGGAAAGATGAAGACACATAAAGATACAGTCTGCATGATGGACGTGGGGACTTCTAACATCATAAGCTGAAAGTACGGTTATCAGTCAAAGCTGTGTTTAGTTAACAATCAGAAAATTCACCAGGTGGGTATCATATTCATATCACTTAATGCTACTGGGTGTTTTAATCGTTGGATTGTCTGATAGGAAAAGTAGTGTGTACATTTTTTAAGAGTGTTGTTATGTCAGTGCTGAAAAAAATTGTACTTTAATGCGTTGGTACAATAGTTTGTGAAACCTTCACGCCAGCTCTGCCTTTGAAATGGTATTAAAAAGTTAATTATATATTGAGCAAAAAGGCCTAACAATATACAACTAACAATTTCTGTTTCAGCTTCCTAAATGTGAACATTCTCTGTTTAATATTTTTATAATTACATTTGTCTGGATTTTGGACTCCTTGTAATTAATTTTTTTAACAAAGCTCTTAAAGAGGACCTATTATCCCCATTTACCACCTTTTCAAAGAGTCCCCTGTGGTCTAAATGAAACATCTGTGCTGTGGTCAAAATATAACATGAATCAAGCACCAGAGGAGGTTTGTGACCCTGTAGAAACCAGCTCTCTCAGAACACTCCGTTTTGGTGTGTGTGTCTCTTTAAATGCAATGAGCCCCACCCCCCTGAGATTTCCCCGTAGACATCACTCCTTTGCTAGTGAGAATAAAAATGGCATGGAGTCCATGGGTGGAGATATCAGGGGAGTGGAGGATATTTGTTTTTACCAGAATCCCACTGTGACATCACAAAGAGAACATTTTTCTCTGTGTTGTAAGACTTATGCAATCACAAACAAAGGACTGGATGGATTTATTTCACATGTTGTGGGTCTGTAGACACTCAGGTTACCCAAATATATGTTCAAAAACACATCATAATTTGTCCCCTTTAATATCAACTGATGATCAAGCCTTTTGTCATTCGAGACCCTTAATCTTTTAAAAAGTATGATATAGTAAGGTTACATCACGTAAGATATAGTAGAGTTCAGGACAATTGTATCAAGTTTGGAGTCTGATTCTGCCAACTTTGATTTGTTAAACCTGAGATTTGGGTTGACGTAGTCAATGTGGGCTTGCCATTCGAGAAACAAATCAGGCTTTGGGTCTGATATGTCTTGTTTTAGGTTTGCCTCTTTTGTACAGAGATGGACTGAGTTTTTGTCTCAGTTTCACACTTGTTCAAATGAAGGTATATTGGATATCTTTTTCTGTTTTTGAACAACAGACTGCCTCCATTTTAACCCTATTGTTTTGTCTGCTGAACCACATCCTTTTCCTTAAACTACTTGCAAGGTGTTCTGTGTCTCTGTCGCGTTGTGAATGAAGTTAAGTTGACCGACAATGAAGCAATAATGAAAAGAAAATGTGTAACTGAATGTGAGGCACAGTGAGAAAGCATACATCCCTACCTTTAGTCAGAGCATTGAAAGCCATTTTGACTCGGGAGAAGGTCCCACTGCCGATCTCCCCTCGGACCTTGTAGAAGCCCACCCTGCGGCCTATGATGAGCTCCTTGATGGTCTTCTCATCCTTGCACAGGGCGGTGGTGAGCTTCTGCAGGGGGGTGAGGCGCAGCTCACCGTCAGCATCCTCGTCCTCGGGGCCGATCTCAGAGCTGTCCGTCAGACTGTACTGGCTGTGGTGGATTTTGGCACTGGGCACTCGGTACTGGCTTCCTGGCATTTTTGCGGCAGGATGGGGATGAGGTCATCTTCACAAACACAATATTGTCATTAGGGTCTTTAACCAGCTCAATGTTCGGACATACACTAAAATGACCAACATGATGCATTTGTATTCTTTCAGTTGAACATATTTTACATAGCATGTTGTTCTTCGCACACAGCTGTTCTTACTATTTGAATAAGGATGTTCTTCATTAATTTAATTCCTTATTTTAATCAAACACTTATTGTTTTAATTTTCTGATTCAGACTTTCCCCCCTCTTTCTCTACATAATTCTGAAAACACTTAGGATTTCCATGGCATGAAGGTCAGCCTACATCAAACAAAATTGTAATCATACTTCCCTATGAACAAGGTGAACCCCTTATTCCACACTGTAAATATCCCCTTCACATCACTAATACAGTCAATATTCTACACATGCTTCCTCCGCTGCTTCAATGCCATCGTTTTCAAGACAACATAAATATATTCATGGCTAAATCTTGCAACACATCTACACATCTAATAGTAACTACACGATAGATATGAAACATGGAACCCTAAATGGTTGCAATGAGTCTTAAGAGATATATTATAAAGACATCAAGTATATATAAAACAAGATTAATGTCTCTTACCAAGTTTCCAAAGTGCTGCTCTGTGTTAATTCACAGTTGTAGAGTCCATTACAATCACCAACACAATCACATGGCTCTTCTGGCCCAGCAGGAACCAGAAAGATGAACTTCTCTCAATCACATGCTGAAATCTGTTTGTGCCCAAATCTTTTCAGACAGCTGGATCCTTGTGGGCAAAACCGCGCTGTCACAGTGTCCTTCTCCGTCCCCCCCTATCAGACCTACTGTACACTGATGGTCAGGAGCACAGGAGGTGAAGGAGGTGGTGTGTGTTTGAGCCACTAGTCAAGTGCACAGTCTCCTCCTCACTGAGTGACGAAGGATAATGGGTGTCATGACTTCAAATCCTGTTGTAATTTAAGCCTGTCCAAGTCACTCAAAAATCAAATCAGAGTGGCAAAAAAATGAAGCAAGGAAGATGCAACAGACATCAAAATGTGCACGTGTTTGTATCTGCAGCCGATATGAACAGAACACTTTGGTTTGCACGTCAAGCAGAGAATAATTGTGTGATACCAAAGCCTGTGTTTTGCAGCTGAGGTTGATCCCTTGGCTTTTGAGAAGGTGATATGTTATGCAACGGCATTACCCAATGTTCCCATAGAGATTAGCTCCCTGTCCTGTGTGGGCTGGCAGAGCAGCTCACTTAGAGAGATTAAAGACCACGAGGTCATCGGCAGGCAGAACGTCTTTTCATTCAGGTGTGTTCTCCCTGTGAGGAACAATCAGAAAACAACATTCAAATCTGCTTATTTCTATATAATGCAAGTGTTGATTAAATATAATAGCCCGATCAGTACCACAACTGAGCACCAATCTCAAAGTAATGTTCCTCATTATTTAAAAACAACATCTCAGTTGCATATTTTGCTCACCAGGAAGGAGTAATAAAATATTTTTTGCAGATTTTCTAAGTAATTATTTGATCGGCTTTGAATTAACTATTTCCCAGTCTTCATAGTTCTTTTTTTGCTTGTCTTGCAAACTGCCTAAAGCCCAAATATATTCAAGTAACCATCATACACAACAAGAAAAGGAGCTAAATCCTCACATTTGTGAAGCAATGACGAGACGATATGTGCTTTATACATGTCAGCAGTGTCAATGGCTAAATAATTCCCTGGTCTTTCTGCACTCCATTTTTGGGAGCAACACGTTTAAGATGATCTTGTCAGAAGTGTGCTGCATAAATGGATCTAGGAAGTAGTGTTGTAGTACTCGAGTTTGGTTGAGACCACTCTCGTCTCTGAATCAAAAGCATTTTTACTCGGTCTCAAGCTGGGAGGACTACAGATTTTAAATCAAAACCAGTCAAGACTACTACTGATTTGGTATTGCTATTTTTCCACGTCATTACTGTCATGAGAAAAAAACGCCGTTTCATAAACAACAAATAACTTCAATGAATATGTTTCATTCCCTCTCCCCCGATTACGACTGCAACCTTTCCGTTATGGTCTAAATGAGTGACACGCAGCCTGCACACAAGATGATGATTTTTCAGGGATATTTAAGGTCTTGGTCTAGGTACTTGACTCGGTCTTGACTTGGTCTTGATCCCCAAATGTCTCGGTCATGTCTCGGTCTCGGAGCAGTCTGGTCTCAGGTATGTCTTGGTCTCGGTTAGTGTAGTTTTGATTACAACACTACTAGGAAGTGAGCTCAGATCAGTAAGGATTCCAGTTTCCTACTGATCTTAAAAATAATATTCAGAAAGTCGAAGGTCACTCAGAAAATATGACTTTTCATATTAAAGGAACTCTTTGAACACAAATTACAGAAGACAAAAGAACTTGAGGCATTTTAGAAATCCAACACAAAATAGTCAACAGATTCTTAACTCTTTGAATGAAATTAGATTAAAATGATTAATCCCTTGAATGAGACTGGCCTTCAAGCTACCGCATCCACTCCCAAGGGCGTCTCTCCTATGTCTGCACTGCTCCCTCCCTCCATCACTCCCATGCAGGCATCTAATTGGATTAAAGCCTTACACCGGGCTACAGCATGTGTTGAGAATGTGCTCGCTTCACACTGGTCACCTGCAAGCAGCGTGGTGAGACTGCAAATCTGATCATGAGTGACTGTACAAGAAAAAGGCAAGGCGTTCAGAAAAGCATCTGGAAAAGATGTTGACTTCCTCAACTCTGAGGAAATGCTTCGAAATGGAGCTAAAATATAAATCTAGAAATTTCAAAACACTCAAGTATTTTTTGCCCATTGAGAGGTCAGAAGATTCGTGCACCTGCAGCGCCGGGAGGTCAGTCGGGAGGTCAGCAGCTCGTTAGCTTCTAAACAAACTAGATCTTTCGCCTCTTTAGAGGGTTAACGTTGTGGCCTCCGACACGCTGGTTCTCTTCCAGCTCTTTGATTCTGTGACGCAAGACCTCAATCTCTCTGTTCTTCTCCTCCTGGAAGAACTGCAGCTTCTGAAGAGACACACACACACACACACACACACACACACACACACACACAGTTAATCCACAAACAAACACAGACACACTACAAAAAGGCATTACAAAAAATACTTACAGTTTGCTCAAAACAGACATGACGCAGACGACCTACAAAAAACACAACCCACTTACTTTAAATCTTATTTGCGATTCTTTCCAACTAGGAAATGATGTCAGACTAAATATTTAGAGGCACTATTGTTGTAAATTTAATGCTAAGGCAAACAAACATGATTAAGCTCTGGGCAACTCAAATTCTAAGACATGTCACCAAGAATTGAAATGAATCAACGTATTTAAAATGTGTGTGTTTTTTTTTCTTGCAAGTTTTGCTTCTCTGAGGTTTTGTGTTCACACCCGTCACAAACATGGTTTTTAAGTTTCCATCTGGCTAAAGCTTGTGTCTGTGAAGTTAGGATATCAGTTGTTCAGGGTTAATAAATACAGTTAGCAAAAACACTGCTGTTATCAAAATCATTAGTCACTTTCTTTTATCTAGGCTGCTTTCTTTTGCAGGAAATAATGGAACTTGTGCATGATTGGAAGTGGCCTGATTTTGCTTGTGTTAGATTGTTAAAGTTTAAACGAGGAGTTATTTATCAAACTAAGGTAGCAGGTGGCTGAGCAGAACTTGAAGTTTCAGGGGAGAGTGTGTTTCATGTCAGGTTGCTGATAACAGCCTACTGAATATTGCTGTATGCTGAGTCATATATATGCTGAGTCTTATACTGTCAGCATTAGACGTGCCTGAGTAGCCCGGCTCACATGGATGTGTGTGAAAAACACTGAACTTTTGCTACATGTATCCTTGATGCCCACTCTACAGACACCACTGCATTTAAGCTATCCTAAAAAGGCTCAAAAGGCTGACCCCGTTTTAATTGAAAACTCCAGGGTTGTGTTTTAGTCTGTGTGGGCAAAAAAGTTGTTGCAGACTTCCACATCCTTTTTCTTCCCTGTTGGGACTTCTCAGTCATAAAGTGTTCTTCCCTGATTTGTCATGCTCCCAACGTGAAATTAAGTGTTGCTGAACTTGCGGTCTACGTACGCAGCTGTTGAGCCGTTCTCTATTTTATTCATGGGACTAGTGCAAACATGAAGCTATTCCCATGTCCATTGTCCAGCCAGTATGAGTCGTACATTGAGAGCATCTGTTTTGTGTCTCGTTTTACATGAGAGCGTAGTAGTATGGGTGTCGCTTTACAAAGTTAAACTTATAGGAATTAGAATAAGATGAGACATCCAGGTCAAATCTATCAACGTTTTCTCTCCTCTGAGCTGAGGTTTGCAAAGCCTGTATGCCAATTCACGTACCCATAACATCTTGCAGCTGTGTACCTCAGAAACACTCATGATCATATCCTCATGCATGCACAGAGTGCTGCTTACAGACTGGAAGCCTTTGAGGTACACATCCATTACTATATATATATATATATATATAAAAATGTGTACTCTGTGGAGGTCCACAGTGAAAAAGGGGGTTTTAAGTGGTTTTCTGTGTTGGCTTCTCACCCTCTTGAAGACACTCTGGGGAAGGAGGCTGGAGCCGTGTTGTTGCTGCTGGTGCTGTTGGCTCAACTGAGCTGTACTCTGAACTCTGGCTAATTTGGCACCAAACTGTTAAAACACCAGAGACAACAACAAGCTTACAGAAAGGCTGAAAGTAGCTACTGAGGAGCAAAGCAGAGGTCTTCTTAATCTCAGCACTTCTGCTTACTGGATGTCAACCATTATCTCCTGCAGACAGACACAGTTGAACTCTTTGACCCTTCAGAACACTCGTTGGTTTCCTCTATGAACTTCATTCACACTTTTTTCAGAAAAGGAGCTAGAACTATCAGTAAACCAATAATCTTTCTATTAATTAGCAAACATAATGATTATACGACAGCTTTTATTTACCTCCATCTGTAACTTGAGGAGCTCGCTCTGCTTCTCTCTCTCCTGCTCCTTCAGCTTCTTCTTCATTTCCTCCAGATCCAGATCTTTCCTCTCCAGCAGATTCTTCAGCTCAGCATCTTTAGCTTCCACTATGAAAAACAGAAACAGCCTCAGACACAAGTCATACACAGATTAATCTAAATCATTACTTGTTTCTCTGCTGGGATGCTACAGCATTACTAAAATAAGGAATTATGGTTATAAAGCTCTTGAATGTCACCTTGCAAACGTCTGACTGAAAGACAAAGTTTGAAACGCCTTATATTTGTGTTAGATTTATATTCCGGGATATAAATGTGATCCATAGTCTATGACCTGCATAAAGACTTTGCTTTAGAGAGATTACTTTGTGCTTGTATAACATCAGTGTTCCCTGAAACTTTCTATAAGATCCACCCTCCCTCTGTCTCAATGAATAGAGTTTTTTTTGCGAGGTCTCACTCTGATTGAAAGCCTGCCTGTGGGCATCCTCCACCTCACTCCTGCACTGCTGTCTCAAAGTCTCTAGCTCCCTCTGGTGTTTCTCTGCTTCTGCTCTCATTTCACCAACCAGCCGCTGAACCTCAGCCTCTACATCCTGTAGAAAACACACAGGCCTCAAATACAAAAACTAAATCTGCTTATAGGCAAACATTTGGAATTGCTACCTAGTTTCAGGGTTAAGAGAAAACAAAAACAAACTTTCCTAACAGTGAGAATCAACTCTAAAAGTAGCAGCAGGTTAACAAGATATTGGTCAGTTGAATCCCGGTTCTTTCTGTGCGGAGGTTGCATGTTTTCCCTGTGCATGCATGGGTTCTCTCCAGGTATGTTGACTTCCTCTCACTGACAAAAGACATGCTCATTAAGTTAATTTTTTACTCTAAATTGCCGTAAGGGGTGTAGTTGAGTGACAGGTTGATGGTACAGCTGTGGTTCAGTGGTAGAGTGGGGTTTCATACCCAGCTCCTACAGCCACATGTCCGATGTGTCCTTTAGCAAGACACTTTAACCCCAAGTTGCTCCCGCTGCCTGGGCGGCTGTGTTTAAATGTGCATGAGTGGGATTAGCTAATACTGATGGTCACTTTACATAGCAGCCTCTGCCATCTGTATGTGAATGAGTGTGAATGTGTAGGTGTGACATGTGGTGTAATACCGCTCTGAGTAGTCAGCAGACTAGTAAAGTGCTTTACAAGCTCAAGTCCATTTACCATTTATCTCTGTATATTTCAGCCCTATGACAGAGACTGGCGACAAATCCAGGTTGTATTCTGTCTCTTGCTGAGATTAGCTCCAGCCCGAACAGGTCAAATGGTAAATATAAAGGATGGATGATTGTGCCGTTTAAAATCCATAAAACTAGTTAGCTGTCCACATTAAATCCTTGTTTTTTTAAGAGTGCTATACAAATAACGTTATTATTATCAGATGCTGCCTCTGGTCTTACCTGTGCTGTTCTCTTATTCTGTCGTTCTAGTTCCATCATATGAATCTTCAGTCTGTCATTCTCCACTAAAACATGAAGCATTAAAGCACAACAACAGTTAAGCATGGTTAAATCCATTTAATGTCATTAGCAGGTTTAGTAAATAACTAAGAAGTTGTGCCATGGCATTATGAACAATTCTGAATACAAAATATGGAGGAAATGGATGTCACACAGAGATAAATATAAATGTTAACTTGAACACAACATTACAACAGTAACAGAATTAAACTAGCACTGAGATGATTTTAGGAATTGGTGTCCAAATCCTTTTTGTTTCTAGGTAAATCTGCAAGTTAGTAGAAAATATGGATTCAGTGGTTTATTGCAGTTACCTCTGAGGTTGATCTGCTCCTGCAGAGTCTGCTGCAGTCTGTTCACCGAGACCAGAAGACTATCTCGCTCTGCAACATCAACAGCAAAATTTCATGAGGTGGTTGATTGCTTTTATCTATCATACATTTATAGAGTTCAAACCAACTCAATAATGGAAATGAATTTAATGCAACCACTTAGAAGTGTTTGAAGTATTGTATGATATTGTCTATGGTCAGTACAGCCATTATTATGTCATTATTTTGATCTTTTTTTTAATGGTGACCTGCATGACAAAAAACCCACTAGTGCAGCAGCCCCTTCACATGCTGATAGTTACATCCTCATGTAAAGGGCCTTAATATGATTAGATGCACTTGTGGAGTAAACCACATTTAGAGTCATTCAACATGCATGTCTAAGATAGATTGAAATGTTTGCATAAATAACCTTTTGTCTGTTCAGCCAACAATGGTTCAACTAAAGTATTCTTCATTTAGTGTTCAGAGAACATCTTGTTTTTTCTCCTCAGCTTGAAAAACTCTTAAGCCTCTTAAAAGTCCTCCTTACTCCTCCAAACAGTTTTTCACCTTAGAAGCTCTGTTAAGGGTGCTTTGTGATTCACTTTTTAAATTTACAAGAATCTAGTTCTCACTCTAAGGGGAAACTTTTTGAATAGGCCCCTGAAACACCAGTCGTCTATGACACTGTCATTTGACAAAACAACCAGCAGAGGGAGACAAACAATACAAAATCCTACACCCTACACAATGCTCTTTCAGAAGCAGGACAACAACTCACCCTCAATCAGACTTTTCTCCTTAGCCATGTTGAATTTCAGGAGTCTGTTGGCATCCTCCAGCATGATCTCCAAAGCATTGTTTTTGTTATTAACTTCTGCGATTCCCTGTGTAAAACGTAAAAGCACTTTAAATACCCTTCAATTCGTAACAAACACTTTTCCTGTGGCGTGCATGTGTAATAGTTTGCAGAGAATATGCTTCAGGTTTTAGTGGAGGGTCCATTAAGAGATAATTTTATTCCACTTAATATATCTATATAGATCATGTAGTTGTGACATAAGTCTGCCCTACAATATTTAAAAGCTCCTTTTATTAATAATTTAAAGGCACTTTTTATCATAGCCGAGCTGAAACTTGTTGGTCTGCCACACATTTTGTATTTTACCTAGCCATGAAATAATAATTGCTTTTACATGTTTGAAATACAACATAGTGTATAGCATTTATTTGAGTGTTTTGAGGACAAACATAAACTGAACTGAACACCTGACGTGTTTCCTCAGTAATATTCTCATGACATCATTTTATATTGCCTACATAATGTCTCTGCTTTCTTGTAGATAGGCCTATACAATACAGTGGAGATGGAGTGAAAATATCTACCTGTCTATGTTGTATAGGTGTACAACATAGACAGGTAGATATTTTCACTCCATCTGCACTGAAACTGTGAAAGATGGACATTTAAATGCTAACTTTACCTGTTCTTCAGTTATCCACGATAGTGTTACCTTTACCTGTGCTTCAGTTATAGTGTTACCTTTACCTGTTCTTCAGTTATAGTGTTACCTTTACCTGTGCTTCAGTTATAGTGTTACCTTTACCTGTTCTTCAGTTATAGTGTTACCTTTACCTGTGCTTTAGTTATAGTGTTACCTTTACCTGTTCTTCAGTTATAGTGTTACCTTTACCTGTGCTTTAGTTATAGTGTAACCTTTACCTGTGCTTCAGTTATAGTGTTACCTTTACCTGTTCAAGTTGAGTAAAAGCCAACAAAAATGTGTCCAGATTCACACGGTTTTCCTTTGTCATGTTGTTAATCCAAGACGGAACTCACGACTACAGCGGGAAAAAAGTAATACCGGTAATATCGTATAATTTATTCAGTCTCAGAGTCAAAGTAACGTTCATGGATAACTTAAAGCTACAAGCAAAGAAACGCCGATGCTAAAGCTAGTTAGCTTACACCGTCTCCATGACGACTGTTGTAAAGTTGAGCACACTACAAAAAAACAGAAACATTTCTCCACATTTAGGCCGAAAACATCCCTAAAAATTGGTGTGAATTTTGAAAAGTCACTTTTTTTCACATTAAGATAAATATTTGCCAACTTTGTCATATTTAGTTTTTGTTAATATAAATGTAAGGTTATTTAATTGGCATATCTAAATGTTTAATGTTAGCCTATGTTAAAAAATACATGGGCCTACATCAACATATAGGGCCTACATAAAGACACAAAAAATGACACGAAGCAACTATGGAAATTATTAATATTTGTGATTTAATTACAGAATGTAGATTTAAACTAGCAAGCATTTTTACAATTAACTTATTTGCCTGTTATTCTTTTTTTGTTTATTTTTTTGAGTAAGATGTTGTGTTTACAGTGACACATATAGCAAATCCTCACATTACAGAAGCTGTACCCAGACAACATTTGGCCCTTTTCTTGAAAATCACTTAATTGTTCATGGAAATTGGTGTTGATAATTTTGAAATTACTAATCAATGACTGATAATCATTTCAGATAATCATTTAGTCCTGGATATACGTTTATGAATACACTTAGTATTGTATTCTCTAACTTTAAATTAAATATTTTATTTGGTTTATATAGTTTCTACTCAAATAGATCGTTTCCCCATTATTTGTACAACACTGATCAAATTTCACTTTAAATATTTTGAACACTTCCATGTGTGTTTTGGACTTCATGGTCGGACAGAAGTTTATTCTGAGTTAAGACAGTCCTCTATGCTCATTTACATTCTTCATGGGACATAAGGCTCCAATGAGCTCTAGTAAGAGCCGGTCAAATTCACATTCAGCAGGGTCCAGTTCAGGCTCTCTGGAGGATCTGGCTGCACTGCAGAACCGAAAAGAAATCAAATCATTTTAACATGATGATAAAAAAAAGAAAAAGAAATCATCATGATAACTGATCTACAGAAACAAAGAAAAAAATCCCAAAGAGATTAACACTAAAATAAGCAAGCACCAACACGAGTGAAAGGGGGCCGATATCGGTATTGGGGAGAAAAAAAAAGCAGATGAAGAGCTGGTCAGACTTCCTGACAGCCTGTGTGCGCCGGATGTACTGTGCCAGGGCCCTGACTGGACCCAAGACAGAAAGGTGCTGCTCACCCTCCTGACCATCTTTGCAAGAGGAGAGTGACCACAACTCGACCAACTGGGACAGATGTAACTAAGACAGGACCGTAGGTAGAAAAGCTGGGTTGGGTCGGAGGACTATGCCAGACCCACCCAGCGTAAACCAGATAGCAGTCTTCATGAACAGACAGTGCGTGGAGCTCGCTTATTATTCTGGCAGAAGTTATGGCAAACAGAAAGGCTGCCTTAAAGGAGAGCCATTTGAAGTTTAAATCCTCAAGAGGTTCAAAAGGCGGATGCCGTTGTGCACTGAGGACTAGATCAAGGTCCCAAGGCAGAACCGAGGGTCCAGTCCTGAGGATGGTAAGACTCTGGTAACCCCTGAGGTATCGTGAAATTAAGGAGCAGCCGTCTTCAGTAAAAGTAAGAATATTCACCAAGGGGAACCACCTTAATTGCTGCCACAATGCCCCGCAGCGAAACAGCAGACTTCCGAGTCTCCAGCTTGGACTGAAAGAACTGCAGGACATCCTGAGGCTTGGCCAGGTAGGGGTCCAAGTGGTGGGCCCCACACCAGGCTGTAAACATCAGCCCTAGTAGATGGTGCTGGTGCTTCTTGCATCGGTCTCACTACAGGCTCCGGTAACCCTAAAGCTAGGAGCCTGTACCTCTCAGGGGCCAAGCCGTCATTCTGAGCCCTGCTGGAAACGGATGGAAGAGAGTCCCACTGGCCTGGGACAGCAGGTCTCTCCATGCTGGGAGCTCTCGCGGCAATCCCTCTAACAGGGGCAGGATTGCCAAAAACCAAGTCATGTGAGGCCAAAGAGGGGCCACCAATATCAGCCTGACACTCTCCAACTGCACCTTTTGGAGAAGGGGCTGAAGGAACTGGCAGGGAGGGAAGGTGTATAGCAGAGGCCTTGGCCGACTCTCTGGAAGCAAAAAGGTCAACTTCTGCTTTGCCCAGGCGACGCCAGATCTCCTTGACCACCTGTGGATGAAATCTCCACTCCCCAGGTTGGGTTGGGCCCCCGGAGGTCCAGAATAGGACGAAGACCCCTGTCTCCCTTGGGGGCCAAAAAATAACGGGCGAAAAACCCGGCTTGTTGATCCCCTCGCTCTACCTCTCTTATGGCCTTTTTCCCCAAGAGAGTGGACAGTTCTTCCTGCAGTAATATCAATGTTTTAAATCAAACATACAGTCAAGTATCTTTAAGAACCGTTTCCTGACATCCGCTCAGTTTTTAGGCATGAACTTAAACTGAATCCTTTAATAACATTTAAGCCTTGTGTTGTTTGCACTTCCATTACGTCTTCAAGCAGCTACAACTTAACAAATACAGTAACTTTACACTCTGAAAGAAGTCCTTTAGCTTCAGGCAATGCTTCCAGTTCAAAACTGAAACTTTGACTCCATTCAACAGATCAATGTCACACTTTCCAGTCAGTGTCACACTCACATTTTCTTTAATCAGCAGTTCTTTAAAGCTCCTGAGGAGTTTTTAACAGGTTCTGATGACTCTTAATGACTAACCAAAGCAAATTAGACCATCAGCATAAAGAATAATCATTTCTAGATTGTTATTTTGAATGCTTTAGAAAAACCCTTTTTGCGAGGTCTCACTCTGATTGAAAGCCTGCCTGTGGGCATCCTCCACCTCACTCCTGCACTGCTGTCTCAAAGTCTCTAGCTCCCTCTGGTGTTTCTCTGCTTCTGCTCTCATTTCACCAACCAGCCGCTGAACCTCAGCCTCTCCATCCTGTAGAAAACACACAGGCCTCAAATACACAAACTAAATCTGCTTATAGGCAAACATTTGGAATTGCTACCTAGTTGAAGGGCTAAGAAAACCAAAAACAAACTTTCCTTACAGTGAGAATCAACTGATCCTTATGGAGTTAACTTTAACAAGTCTAATATTAATCCATCATGAGCACTAAGAAACATTTAGCTGAGAGGCAGAAACCTTGCACAGAACCAGACTCATGTTGAACAGCCATCTGCTGAAACTTCTTTGAGCTTGGAAAGTATGTGTAGTATTAGCAGTATCAGTTAAGTATAATAATAGACTGATCGGTCTATTGCTAACATTAGTAATGATGATGAAACAGGGAGGACTAATTATGTTACTTATAGAGTTTGAAGTTTAAAGGGTCTGAGATTCACTTCAATGTTTATGGATGTAAGGCTGATATTAAGTATGAAGTAAGCCGATGTTATTTAAGTTTATTTTTGGAGTATCTCTTGTGTTTCCCTAATACAAATTGTAACAGTGTATAAACATTTGAGAATCCATATTCTTAATAAGATTTGTACCTCTATGACTGTTCTGCATTAGCAATCCTTAAACAGGCATTCACTACATGTCCAGTCTCTGCCTGCAAGACTGTGGAGAGCTTAAACTAGCTTGGTTTAATAAAAAGACCCAAAGGCAGAAGGACAAGAGACATATATATTTGTAACAGGCAACTTCAAATTTAATTCTGTACAAATTCAACACATGATGTCCACATAGCCCCAACTTAAAATGTGCATTTAATGCACTGATGACCTCAAAACCAACTGAAAAATCTAATCTTTTATAGTCCATGCACTCATAAACATTGATGTTGCGTTAGACTGACTGACTGACTGACTATGAAAACTATTTTCTCTGTCAGACTTAATGTAGAAAATGTTACCGTGTCAAACTTTAGTGAACAACATAACACAAAGTAAGGTTAGCTCGATACAGCTCATTCTTCCCTTTTTTGGGGAGTTCATGTGACAACAACGTAATATGAAAACTCATAAGACTTAGTAGTGACAAAAGCAAAGTAATATTATCAGAGTTGATGAAAACATGAATAAAAAAATATGTTTAATTCACTACACATGTATTCTTATGAAACAGTTATGGGCCCTTTTATTTTACATATGATATAATTTGCATTTGACCTGATTTTATAAAAGAAAAACACTTTTTATATATACAAACTTTCAGCTAAAAAGCTTTCGACTTTACACCTTAATGTTCTGTGATTTAAAGCTCAAGATTACAATGTCATGTTAGAACCATTGTCAACAACTCTGCAGCTCTAATAAGCTCTTAAGCCTGTTTTGACTCATAGCACAACAACAGACAAAATGAACACTCCATACTAGCTTGGAGAAAGAGGAAACTTTAGTAACTGAAGACCCTGATAGGGTCCTACGACTCCTTTTGAGAATGAACACTGAGCTTAAAGTCATTAAATCAACAGAAAGACAACTTTAATTCAATGATCGAGTTTTCTTTGATGACCAGATGTGTGAGTCAGAAACTGTTTGCCAACAAGATAGCCAAAACTGTTTTCTCGTTGTTGCACAGTATGTCTGTCTCTTCTCATTCAAAAGAGTTGTAGCTGAGAACTGGTCAATGCAGCTTTAACAAAACAATTACTTGATAACAAGCTTTTTAGTCCTGTTTAGGGGGTTCAGAGTATGAAAGTCTTGAGGCCATTCAACCCCCAGCTAGTGCTTATTCCCTTCAAATGGTTCCCTTTTCACAACTGCAGTAAAACACATTCACGTGTCCTCTTCCTCCTTCATACCAAACTTCAAGCAGTGTAAGCTTAATGGTCCTGTCAGACAAAGCAGCGGGAGTCCAGAGGTGGTGGCAGGACAGGCACATACAGTCCTAAACCATTTTAGGAGAGCTGTCATTGGGTAAATTC